CTAGGGTCACTCTTTCGTGTAGACGACCCTCCTTGGCATCGCTCGGACGTGTGCGTTTTTTCGCGGGGAAGACCATCCGAGGAGCATCCTGGATCATCGAACAAAGGAAGCTCGCTCGAAGCCAACGATTTCACGGGGGGAGTGGACGGCCAAGCAATGCCATGATTTTTTCGGGCGATCGCAAGCATGGAGTAAGGGGGCGTGGATTAGCGACGGGTCCCGTTTCCATGGGAAATCGCGGATTTCCGCCGCCGAGCGAGGCGGCACCGGCCCCCGATCCATGGATCTGGCGACCGCGCGCCAAATCCATGGATCGCTTATCCATGCCTGCGCGCCCCCGAGCGAACCCTCGGGGAGCATCCTGGATCAGCGAGCACAGGAGCCACGCACGAGGCGGCCAGAGAGAGCCCGGCGAGAGTGGGGAGTGGGCGCCTGCGAGCGACGGCGAGCCTCGCGATGCCACGCAGGGATCGGCGGCTGGACTCTCGTCGGGCACGTCCGCCGACAGGAGGAATATGCAAGAATGGTCAAGCAATAGTCTGTGGACGATGTTTCGTGCATTGTTTTCGATTATTGTAGACCATACCTATACGACCACCCTTCGGGTGACAAGGAGGTTCGGGGGGGGGGAACCAACGTCTCGCTCGATCGGTCTCACTATCGATCTCAGTATCGATCTCACTATCGGTCTCGCTCGATCGATCTCACTCGATCGATCTCACAATCGATCTCACTCGATCTATCTCATTCGATCGATCTCACAATTGATCTCACAGTCGATCTCACAATCGATCACACAATCGATCTCACATTCGGTCTCAATATCGATCTCACTATCGATATCACAATCGCTCTCACAATCAACGTCATCATCATCATCATCGTCATCATCATCATCAACATCATCAACATCAACATCATCACCAACATCGTCATCATCATGGGGGCACCGTCATCATCATCATCATCATCATCATCATCATCATCAAAAACGTCATCATCAACGTCAGCATCATCATCGGGACAACATCATCATCATCATCACCATCATCATCTCATCATCAACATCATCATCATCGGGACACAGTCTTAGTCATCATCATCAGCAGCATTATCATAATCATCATCATAATCGGGACACCATCATGATCACCATCGTTCTCATCATGAACATTATCATCAACATCGTCATCATCCTCGGGACGCCATCATCATCATGATCATCGCATCATCATCATCGACATCATCATCATCATCATCAACAACATCATCATCATCATTGGGGCCATCATCATCATGAGCAACATCATCATCAACATCGTCATCATCATTATTATCATCATCGGGACACCATCAGCATCACCATCATCATCACCATCATCATCATCATCATCAGCATCATCACCGGGACACCATAATCATCATCAACATCATCATCATCAGCATCATTATCGCCGGGCCACCATTTCCATCAACATCATCATCACCAACATCATCGGAATCATCATCATCATCATCATCATCATCGTCATCATCATCGGGACGCCATCATCGTCATCATCATCAACATAATCATCATGAGCATCATCATACTCATCCTCGGGACACTATCATCATCATCGACACCAGCATCAACATCATCATCATCTGCATCGGGACACCATCATCATCATCTCATCATCATAATCATCATCATCATCATCATCATCATCAGCAGCATCATCATCATCATCGTCATCATCATCATCATCATCATCGTCATCATCATCTCATCATCATCATCCTCGCGGGACACCGCGGGACACCAGCGGGACTCCGCGGGACACCGCGGGACACCGCGGGACACCGCGGGACACCAGCGGGACACCGGCGGGACACCGCGGGGCCCCGGCCGCCCGGAAGGGAATCATTTGGTCCGGCCGCGCCTCAGCCACACGGGACACCAGCGGGACACCGGCGGGGGACACCGCGGGGCCCCGGCCCCCCGCGCCGGAAAGGGAATCATTTGGTCCGGCCGCGCCTCAGCCACAGGAGACTTTTTCTCGCCCGCCCACGCAGCTTCGCCTCGCACGCACGGCACGCACGAACACGAAACCGAAACCGATTTCCCGGTGGGAGGCTCGCCGTTCCACTTCGATCTCACCCCCTTACCTCCGATTTTTATTGTTCTTCCAAAGTCCGCCTGTGGGAGGACGTGCCCGACCCGACGCAAGGGTCGGCGATTATGCAAAGGATGCGGTTACGCCGGGGTGTGGTTTGCGATTTGCGATGTTTGGGGAGACACCGCGTTGCCCTCGTCGGGCCTCGTCGGGGCGCGGCGGAGAACTCTGTCGAGGTCCTCGCTGGGCTCCCCAGTTGCGGGTTGCAGACCGCATCCTTTGCAAACCTCACCCTTCGGAGTCGCCGGGAAAAGTGACCCTTCTCTAGAATGACCTTTCTGGTGCGGGCCCCCCCACTGTCGGCAAATCCGAACCCTACTCTCGCCGATCAACGACTCAGGCAAGTCGATGGGCAGCGGGGGTAGGGCCCAGAGTGTGTAAGACGCGTGGGGGAACTCTACCCCTGGCCCCCACCGCTTCAGGAGAATCGATGGCTGGTGGGGGGTTCGGGTTTGGGCTCTCCTTCGTCTGGAGGAGCGGCCCTTCTCTGGAGTGGCCCTTCCTGGTGCGGGCCCGCCCGGGCCCCCCCGAGCGCGGAGCGTGGTGCGACAGCAGTGGCCTGCGCGCTCGGGCCCGCGCCCCCCCCCTCCCCCCCACCGGGCGGGTTCCGCGAAGCCGCGCAGCAGAGGTCGTTCTTCCTTCCAGTAGGCGCGCGTGCGGCCTGCCAGCAGGCACCCCCCCGGGCGTTCTCGTACCCTCCGAGGGCCCCAGGGGCCTACACGCAAGCTCTGGGCGCCTTTTGGGCCCCCGAGGGGTCGACGAAGAGCGTTCTACCCGAGATCGCCTGTGCGGTAGGGGTCGTGCCTAGCGTATGCAAGGGGGGGGGCCTAGTGCCTGTCGGGGCTGTCTTATGCGGGAGGGGCCGATGCGCCTGGGGGCGCGGCCGGGGCGCAGCAGCAGCTCGGCCGCCAGAAGCCACGCAGAAGCAGACAGCAGGACGCAGCCCGCGAAGCCGCAGCAGCGACGACGACGCACAGGCAAGCCCAGGACCGACGACGCAGCTACCGACGGGCGGCTCGAACGCCGCAGCCGGCGGCGGCGCTAGACCCCTACCTCCCACCCCCCCCCCCCCCTCCCCCCCACCCTCCCCCCCCCCCCTCCCCACCCTACCCCCTTCCCCACCCCCCCTTTCCCTTCCTCCCCTTCTCCCCCCCCCCCCCCCCCCCGCCCCCATTTCCCCCTCCCCCCCCCCCCCCCCTCCCCCTCCTTCTTCTCCTCCCCCTCCACCTCTTCCTCCCCCTCCCCCCCCCCCTCCTTCTCCTCCTCCTCCTCCTCCTCCTCCTCCTTTTCCTTGTAGCCGCACCTCGGATTTCCGAGGCGCGGGTGGCCATGTGGGGCTTTGCCTGGGCCCTGCGGGTCGGCGCCGGGGCCCCCGGCATCGCTGAGGGCGTCCACGGCGCGCCGTCAAGGTCGGCGAATGCTGAGGCTTCTTCTCGTGGGCCTCTTTTCCATCACCACCACCTTAGGTCGGAGGGGGAAGGAGGTGGAGGATGAGGAGGCGGACGGTGATGATGATGATGATGATGATGATGATGATGGTGGTGGTGGTGATGATGATGATGATGGTGATGGTGATGGTCATGGTGATGGTGATGATTATGATGATGATGATGATGATGATGATGATGATGATGATGATGATGATGATGATTCCGATGATGGTGGTGATGATGATGATGATGATGATGATGATGATGATGGTGATGGTGATGGTGATGGTGATGATGATGATGATGATGATGATGATGAGGAGGAGGAGGAGGAGGAGGAGGAGGAGGAGGAGGACCATGGTGGTGGTGGTGGTGGTGGTGGAAACAAGCCCACCACTTCTGCCCCGGTCCGGGCCCTCCAGTCCCAGGTCAGGCGCTCACTCCCAGCTGCGTCCGTGGGGGGCCGCGGGCGCTCCGCGCGGATCTCCTGCCTCGGCGCTGTGCACACCCGCGCCTCCCGCGCCCCCCTTTGCGCGCCAGGGAGGGGGGGGGAGCCCAGCGCCGGCTCAATAATAAGGAGGGAAAGAAGCACACAGACACAATTCATCGTCGATCCCCCAGAAAAGATAGGAATATGGGAAGTGCGGGGGAAGACAAAAACCAAGAACATATTGGAACATATGGGGAATCCTGTTAGTTATTTGTGTGTATCTATTTGTGTGTCCCAGGGCCCCTTCAATAAGTCCGCGCGCAGCTCCGAACATTGATGCTCATGCCGTTGATGTTCCTCCAGCATGACGGGACGCTGCGCGGCCGCCCCCGAGGCCTCTGAGCACGTCACGCTGAGTGCCGATGGTGTACGACGAGGATGTGCACGGTTGGGGCTGTTGCTGCTCCCGCAGCTTGAGCACGGCACTCCCGAGGGGCGGGGTGGATGCACGGGCCAATGGCGGAGCGGGCGCTCTGGCAAGGGCGACAGAGCCAGCGCCTGCGGCCTGCGAGGCTACGCTCGTCGCCGTGCACGAGAGCCTGGACAAGAGCATCGACCAGACGGTGCACTGCATCAAGGAGGTCATGGTGCACCGAGAGCCTCCTCTGG